GATTTCCTAAAGAAATTCTGCCTGTGAAATGCAACATAAGTGCCTACCAGAGGTCCCTAGTTTTTGAGTTGTCTTCCAGGTTTTGGACCTTCTAGCCCCCACACTCATGTAAACTGATTCCTTGAAGTCTGTGTGTCAGTCTGTCTGTCTATCAATCAAAAATTGAGTTCTGCTTCTCAGTAGAATCCTGAGTGATAGAATTTCTAATGATACTAATTGCTTCAAAGTTTAACTTACATAATTATACCAGTTGTTACTGCTAGTGTTTGTATGATGTATATTTTTATTCTCTTATTTTTAAGCTTTATTATATTTTAGATCTTCATATTTTAAATAGTGTATATGGGTATTTTTGAGAGTTTAATCTGATAATCTTTGAATTTTTTAATTGAAATATTTTGTATATTTTCACACAATTTATGTACCATGGATTTACTTTTATATCTAATTGTTTAGTATCTTTTTTTTCTTCTTTAATGTCCTCTCATGTACTAATTAAGATTTATTTACTAACAAGCTTTTCCCAACTATTGGCTTGTTGATTATCATTTTATAATTTGGTAATCCAGGAGATTAAAGCAGAAATTTCCAAAATTCTTATACATTTGTTCTAATTCCTCTTTCCAGAACATAGAAAAATTTTAATAACATTTGCACCCCTCCTCACATTCATGAGTTGCATGATGTATTTTATCTATCTATCTATCTATCTATCATTAATCTATCACAAACACCACACTACTTTCTTTGTTGGAATAATTGTTAATATTTTATCATCATTCATTTAGATTCAGCAAGATAGTTGCTTTTTTCTTTGTTCTTCATTTAGTGCTACTCTATGAGATCATTTTCCCTGTGCAAAAACAAACAAAAGAATTTTAGCATTTTCTTGATGATGATACATTTAAAATTTTTAAAATTTTTACTTATCTTAAAAGAGTTTTATTTTATTTACACTCTTAAATAATATTTTCCATGAATACATATTTCTTGGTGGATTTGTTTTTCCTCCTCAGCATTTTTAAGGTATCATCACAGTGTCTGCAGGATTAAATAGTTGTTTTGAGAATTTAGCTGTCAGTCTTATTGTTGCTCTTTTAAAGGCCTTTGCTTTATATTTACTAGAAATTTTAACATTTTAGTGCTTTTTTCTTTGTTTTTGAGTCATGTTACTCTGATGTGATTAATGAAAAATTAATTAATGAAAAGCTGTGCTTTTCATTTCATTTTTTTATTATTGGTTGTTCAAAACATTACAAAGCTCTTGACATATCATATTTCATACATTTGATTCAAGTGAGTTATGAACTGCCATTTTTACCCTGTATACAGATTGCAGTATCACATTTAAGTACATTTGAGAAACATACTATATTGTCTGTTTGGGACTTTCTGTCTTCTGTTTAAAAACTGTCAACCCCTATTGCTGTAACTACTGCTTACCCTATTCTCCCCTTCCCTTTCCCCTTCCACTAAGATTACATCTATATTACATTTCCTCACTGCACCTCTGTGTCTTATTTCCTTGTCTCTATTTGTAAGTGTATTTTCCCTCCCATCTTTAATCTGTACCTTCTTCTGTCATATCTGTAATTCCATGGATTATTTTTTAAATTATGCTAATTCCAGAATATTAATTAATTTTTTGGTTATTTATTTTGTTCAATCTGATTATTATTTTGCATTTGCTATAGTTTCTGCAGTTCCCAATTTTTTATTTTTTATTTTTTACTTTTTGAATATTATATTAAGTGAATTTAAAAATTCTCTGTAGGTCTTCTTAGAGTGTATTCTTGTCCAAAGTATTGTATAATCTGTGTGTTCATTTTTTCAGGGACTATTAGGTTTCTATTATAGTAGCACCAATACTTTCATGTCTAAGATGATGTTTTGTTCAGGCCACTGAAGGAACAGAAAATACTGAATCACTAATTCCCCTTCAGTAACATCATAAAATTTTCCTAAGAATATAATTATAAAAGTCAAATTTGTCACTATGTAACAAATTTTTTAGAAAATTCTTATTACTAGTAAGTGCTCTGGAAACTTTGGCTATTATTAATTTGCACCAAAAATGGTGTAAAACATAACCATAGAAATACTAATGGTGAATGTCAGTAGATGTTTGTATTTCAATGAGTTATTTTATTAGTCTTGCATGCTCCAGATCACTTGAGTTTTTTTAACCTGAGAATTCTCTTCATTTGAAAATAAAACTATATTTTACAAATTACCATAACATAGCATAAGGAGAAAGTTGGATGCATTATAGAGAATGCCATATTAAGAGGGAATCAATGTGTGTTTAGCACAGCTCTGAATAAAGTTCCTCTGTAGATCTACTTATAATACTGATGATGTCAAAGAAGTCCACAATGAAATAGAATAACAGGGTTTTCAGGTGAAGATGTGCACCAGGCATTAGAAATGTGTCTGTAGCAAAAGGGATAAGTCAGGAAATATAATCATTATAGAGAAAAGAGTAACCAAATAATCAAATCATGCAATATAACAAGGTAAACAGATCCAAGTAAAGGCTCAGACTTAAGAAGTCATGAAGCAAAATGCTGAGTTCTGGGTAAAGTGTTCTCTAACATAGTGACCTGGGCACAAGTAAAATGCTAAAGAGGAAGATAAAGAATCCAAATGTGACCATAAAATTAATATGCTATTCAGAAGCCATGTGAAAGGAGTTATTCAACAATAGTATAATGATATGGTTAGAGTGGACAAAAATTGAAATAAATGAAGATAAGACCAACTGAGAATAGCGTTTCAGAAATATGAAAGAAGTAGACTATGGGGGATTTTAAAAAGGTAGGGGTAAAATTGGAGCAGTAAAACCTTATTGTTCCTTCAAAGACAGGATATATTCAGTGAGGTAACTGGATAAGCCAAGTCAAAAAATCATTTTACTAAAAAAAATCATTTTACCAAGACAAGCTTCTTTAAAAATCAATTCTGAGACATAGTTCCAAGTCAAAACAATCCAAAACTTCATTCCATGTTCAGACTCACTTATAGACATATTCAAGAAGGAAAAAAAATCATATGAATACTCCCACATTTTCTAATTCTCAAGAATTTTTTAGCATCATTGTCTTCCATGTGGATGTGACAGGTCTTAGTGATTTGTCCTTCCCTGTGCTTCCACCACCCCACCCCAACTTGGGCCAGGTTCTAAATTTGAGTCTCCCGAATAATTTATTTTACAGAAGCTTAGTCATTGTATTCTCTTTGCTTTGTAATTTTGGTTTCAATATCCCTTACCTTTTTTTATAAAGAGGACATATTCTTGTAAAGCCCAATGCTTACAGAAAAGCCATAATGTAATAAAGAATAGTGTGAGAGCTATTTAGAATGTAACCAAAACTATGTGCTAGTAAAATTTACTTCAAGGCCTGATAACCTGGATCATAAACCTATATTCTCTATTAATGTACTGCATAATAACTTTCCCTATTTTCTCCTTTTGATAATCAAAAGGAGATATGACTTCTTCTATTTTCAAAATCTCTCAGTGAACAGACTTTCATGCATCCTGAAAACCTTTACCAAATGTATCATAACTTTTGTATTTTGAAAAAGAAAACAGTTTCAAGATATTTTATCCTTTGCTTTGACTTTTAACATATTAGAAAGTCTACAAATGTGCAAGCATATTGTTTCATGATTCCCTGGCAATCAAATATAGTACATATGCAAGACAACTTCCCTATAAGTGTAAAGAAGAGAGAAGATAAGCAAATGTTTATAAGAAAAATAGGAAGGTGGAGAGGTAATATCTTTCAAATCTGTCATGTTCTTCTACTTTTTCTACTTCAAAGCCATTGGCAATAAGCACTTCAGGGTCTCATGTATTGTATTCCAGGGCTTCTGAAATAAGACATGGATAGTTTTCAAAGACCCCTGTAAGTATAAATGAAAGCCAATGGCTGGATTGACTAAATGATAACTTAGATATAGCCATGGTAAAAATTGTTTGAATTGAAGATTTGAATTTTTCCATAAAATTTTTTTTCTTGTCACCTGTTCCCATAGTTCTTGTTATTTCAATAAAAAGTTTTATGGTTTACCATATAGCAGTAAGCAAATGATGTTCTTATTGAAAAAGCCCTGATAATGAATGCAAACTTTCAGTTTCTTCATATGATGAACAAAGATGCTTTGTGGTTTTATTGTTTATCAAATTACAAATAAAGAAAGTAGAAAATGAAACTATCCCAAAAGTGGAAGTCATTTCTTTCTGCTTACGTGATAAGCTGTAGTCACTGGCTCTAACAATGACTATAAAAAATAGATGTTCTGAAACTTCTTAGAGGCTGAGGAGGATCAGTGGAGTAGACCTCAAGAATGGCACATGATAAAATATCACTTATGGAAGATTCTTGGAAAATCCTTGAAGAGTACCATATAGATGAAGATCTGGGCTTCGCTCTGCCAAATCCACTGGTAAGAGAGGGTGGTGAAATAAGGGGAAATATCACAATTGGAGGCAGAGTTTGAATAACTGTGTCTCTCTGTTCTTCAAATTTTCCTCCTAGAAACTCAGTCATATATGTAGTTCTTATTTACCTAATAGAAATTAAGAATGATTAAATAAAGAAACCATGGAAGGTATTTTACCTTTACAAAAGGACTATACTATAGATACCAAAAGTTGACTGATTACAATCGTTTTTTCTGAGGGTATTCTGAAAAGGCCAAAGTTATTAATGTCCATGAGTCATGCAGAAGCCCCTTTTTCTAGTGATATCTGTCAAACTGGTCAAAGTTTGTGCTCTTGATTTGATTTGGTTTATGAAATGATACATCAAGTAACTTTCGTCTTGTATGAATAATGGTTACTGTTTACTAAGAGTAAGATGCAAATGAGTATGAAATACCTTAAAAATTATATTTTGCAAGTTTTAGCTATAAAGCACAATGCATATGGAGAAAAATGCTTGCTTCAAAATTATATGTCCCTAAGTTGTATTCTAAAGAATGCCACGTATATCTATTTATCATTAATATTTTAATAATCACACATTTAGAGTCAGAGGGCAAGATAGTCATACAGAGGTGCCCAGCACTCACCTCTTTCACAAAGAAGCACCAGCATAACAATTAAAAGCTGAATTTTGAGGTGAGTGATTTTGGAACCCAGCAAGTTAGAGACAAGAACCCTGTAAGATACAGTCTTGGGAGAGTGGAGAGTATGGTATAAAGCTCACCGAAAAGTGCGACCCAGGTCAAGGAAAGGGGTAAAGTCCCAGCACACCTCTGTGGCCATCAGCAAAGGCAACCTTGCCATCGACATTGGCAACCTTAGCGACACGGGGGACAAGCTTGGAGCCCAGTTAGAGGGACTTTCTGGAGCGTGCACGATAGCTTGGCTCTAGAGAAGGAGTTTGCACTGTCTCCCCGCACAAACCCCAGATCCCAGGATGCCACAGGCGGGTCCCACATTGAGGGCGGAGCTATGCTGCCTTTTCTGCTGCTTACGGGATCAGGTTAATTAGCTAAGCAGTGTAATAGGCCCAAACAGCTTCCCTAAAGGTTCCAACCTCTGCCTAATCCGCCCAAGTTTCACCGTCAGTCCAGTTGCCCACAATCACGCTCAGCGGCGGACACAGCCGCAAGTTTCTGGAATAACCCGCCCAAGCAGCCGCCCTACCTCACCCAGGCGCGCAGCAGCTGAGCCACCGCTAGAAGTGGGCGTGTTGGGGGCGGAGTCACAGCGCGGTCCCTCTGGCTGAGTACCCTGGCGGGGAAGCAGCTGCCTGGCTCCGCAGGTCGGGCATTGGAATCAGCTGCAGTTTCGCCTCCTTGATCTGGCCTGGGTCCAGGCTTCATGCCCCGGCGGCGGTGGACTCTCCCAGTCGCCCAAGCCGCTGTTGGGTCCCAAGGTGCGCCGCTGCTGCTGTGGAAACTCCATTGTGCTCCGTTTCCAGCGCCATCACTGTCACTGCCAGAGTGACCACATCTACAATTGTGTGCAATTTATGAACCCTGACACCTCCCCCCCCGCCCCCCGTGGCTCCTGGAGACCTCAGGGCTTTCACACACACTGCGTCCAAACACAGGGATGTAGCTGAAGAATCTCTGTGAATTTTATTTATATCGGTTATTTTGCTTTACAGTTCACTTACAGTCTTAACTTGGTTTTAAAGTTCGAAGCCTTACCCATGTGGAATAAAGTTAAGCCATTTGTCTTCAGTCACCACAGTCCATTACTGATAACCCAAAAGGCTCACTTTGAAGCAACCTGAATGAGGCATTAGGGCAGGGTATACAGGAAGTTGTTCAGACTTCTGCCTGTGCCTCACTTCAGGATTTTGCCTAGGTCTTGCGTTTGTGTTTCCCTTTGGGTTTTGTTTGCTGTTTAGGGGGGTATTAGGAATTGAATTCAGAGGTGCTTAGCCACTGAGCCACATCTCTAGATGCCGTTCGGCACCTGGCTGTATATTTTCCTTTGATATGTGATAAAAAAATATGATCAGATCAAGAAGACACTTTTATTTGAATTTCATTTGTATTTGTTGGGCAAAAATCAAGCCTATAGTGGAACCAAAGTAGGCAATTTACATGCATACAGTAGTCCACTCTCTATGTTTTTGCTTTCGTTTGCTTCAGTGACCTGCAGTCAACCATAGTCTCAAAGTAAAATGGAAAACGCCATAAGTAAACAATTTATGAGCATTAAATTGCTCACTGTTTTTGAGTCTTATAATGAAACTTCACACCACTCCATTCCATCCCTCCCAGGACATGAGTCATCTCTTTTTCCAGTGTATTCATGCTATAAACTCACCTACCTGTTAGTAACTCAGTAGTGCCCAGGTTATGAGATGGACTGTCAAAGTTTTGCAGTGCTTGTTTTGCAACCCTTATTTTTCTTACTAATAACCCCAAAGCACAAGAGTAGTGACGTCTCTGGACAATTTAGATATTCCAAAGAGGAGTTTAATGTGCTTCCATAAAGTGAAAAGGTGAAAGTTCTTGATTTAATAAAGAAAAAAAATTGCTGTGTTGTTAAGCTCTATGGTAAGAACAAATGTATCAGTGAAATTGTGAAGAAACTATTCAAGTTGTTTTTGCTGTCACACCTAAAACTGCAAAAGTTATCACCAAAGAGCATAGTAAGTGCTTACTTCAAATGAAAAAGGTATTAAGTTTATCATAGGATGTAGATATAGGGAAAATGCATAGTGGTTAAGTGCTATTTGCAGTTTTAGGCATCAACTGGGAGTCTTGAAACATTTGCTAGAAGCATAAGAGACTTTATCCTATACAGTTTCTTCTATATTTCCAGGTGTATTTCAGTTCTTGAAAAAGATATAAATTTAAAATAATTTGCACATTATAATCCTTGTCATCAAATATTAAGACATAAAAAGACTATGGATTCTGAAATTGGAAATATATATGTCTGAATTACAAGTGTGTGTGTGTGTGTGTGTGTGTGTGTCACAAGTTATGTAAACTGAGACCAGGTTCTTTTTATTTATGACATAGAGACAACTTTTGGGGCAATTACAAGAATTAAATGAGAAATGCATATGAAATTAGTGAGCAGAAAGCCCAATCCACTAATGAGATTTTCTTCTGTTCAAAGAACTTAAAATCTAGTTGAAATGGAAAAAAATATAAAACACAAGATTACTTAATAATGACATGTAAGGTATACTCCATAGGATTTATAATGGAGAAGATTGATGTTGAATGGTATACTAAGGAAGGTTTTAGAGCATCTGTTGGGTTGAATTTTGAAAAGGATGCAAAATGAAAGTGCTTAAAGAGAGAAGAGGTGGAAAACAGAGAAGAGCTTGAGCCCTGTTTGTCAGGTGACAAAGCACAGGCTGGTGTTTTCAGACAAGTACAGGTTTGTTGGGGCAATGATGCACAAAATGTACTTAGAAGCAAGGGGAGTCATCCTCAGGAAACCAACAATATTTTACAGTAACTTCCACTAGCAAATCAAAGTCCTATTTTTTTCTTTCAAGGAGGAACTACCTCATGATTATGACGCCTGGATTTTCATTGCTAAAAATCTTCCTGAACTGATTGAGAATGGCCAACTTCGAGCAGAAGTTGAGAAGGTTTGAAATACATATTACATTTGTCTTCTTGTATGGTTGCTTAACATTTTTAAGTTGATTTCTAAGCCTAAATTAGAAATTGGATCAAGAGTGAATTGGGTCAAGTCTCTCCATTTGTTCTCAGATACCACTGCTCAGCATTGATGAGCTCCAAGGACATAAGTCACAGCGACTCGCACATTTGGTTCTGGGATACATTACCATGGCATACGTGTGGGATCGAGGTGATGGAGATGTCCGAAAGGTATGGAGATTTTCTGGTATTTCTTATGCAACATGAGTGAAAATGAAATCCAATTGATATTTAATGTAAACAATCCCAGTGTCTGGTTATAGTTTCCAGAGCATTTGCCTATCATGGGTGAGGTCCTGAGTTTGATCACCTGTACCAAAAAAAAAAAAAAAAAGAAAGAAAGAAAGAAAAAAAGAAAAAAAAAAAAAAAAAAAAAAAGAGAAAAAATTTTCAAAAAGTACTATAACTGTACTTTTAAAGTTAAGATGAGAGAACAAAAAGAAAAGAAAATAACAGTTTACTGATTTAGCATATCAACTGTTATGATTATACTTGCCTTTTTCTTGTATAACACAGTTGCTCCATCCTATCCATACACATATGCATTCGACTTCTTTAATTTAATTATATTGTGAACACTTTTTAGTTACTACACAATCATCCTAATTGTTTGGAATAATTGTACAACTGTTCATTGAGTTACTGAACTTTTGCTTACCTACTAAATCTTCTATTGATAAATATTTAACTTTTCAAAAACATTTCATTATAAACTGGGCATGGTCACACGTGCCCTGTAATCCCAGCAGTTCTGGAAGTTGAGGCAGGAGGATGCAGTGTTCAAAGCCAGCCTCAGCAACTTTGAGAGACCCTCTGCAACTCAGTGAGACCCTGTCTCTAATAAAATACAAAAAAGGGCTGGGGATGTAGCTCAGCAGTTAAGTGCCCCTAAGTTTAATTTCTGGTACCAAAATAGAAAAAAATCAGTATTATATATGACACTACAATAAATATCTTTGAATGGCTCTTCATGGTTAATGTGTAAGTGCTTCCATCTATCAACATAGAAGAGTATCTTGGTTTCGTTCAACTCTTATCAACATAAAAAAAACCTTAATTTTAAATCATCTTGTATATATATTTATAGGTATGCATTCATGTGTCAGTCATAGTCTTACTATTAAAATAAAAATAGCAGTGAAGATCACATTGTAAATTAGGCTCATATTCAGTATCTGTCCTGTAATGCTACTAAAATCCTTGCCTTCCCATCTCTTGTAGTGGTCCCAGATTGAGCCAGTGCAAACACAGGGGTTCCAGTTAAATTTGAATTTCAGATATGCAATTATTTAGTGTATGTGTGTGTCCCGAAAAATGCAAATTTGTTGGACATCCTGTATTTTATTTGGCAGCCACAATCTTATCAAACCAATACTGGAATTTATTTATTTATTTGGGGGGAGGTTACCCGGTATTGAGCCCAGAAGCACTCAACCACTGATCCACATCCCCAGCCCTATTTTTTGTACTTTATTTAGAGACAAGGTCTTACTGAGTTGCTTAGCACCTTGGCCATTGCTGAAGCTTGTTTTGAACTCTATATCCTTCTGCCTTAGCCTCTGGAGCCGTTGGGATTACAGGTGTGCCCAACCCCACCCAGCTCTGAATTTAAGAATAAACTGGATTCAAAGGGCATCTTCTACCACTTAGTGAACACTTTCCTTTTTCAGCAAAGCTAATTAGTGTTTTATTTAGTTATTTTTCTTATCACACTGTGCTTAAAGGCAGGTGATCACATATGATCCACCTATATGATGAGTCATTTCTGACACATAGGGATAGAAGTTGTTGTTCTGCATGATCCTGGGAACAACTCATGCTAATCATTGAACTACTACATCCAGATTGGGATGATGCCAAACAGTCTAAAACTGGTTCTAGTCTTATAATCTAACTTAAAGTTTCTTTAAGTGAATAATCTCATTAGATTTGCTAGAAATATGTGTGTCTGTACTGAAAATCAGTCTATGCTAGTTGCCCTGAGCAGAAGTCCAGAGGACTTAAATAGTAGTTGGTGTCACCACTAATGCTCAGAAGACAGAACAACAAGGCAAGAGGAAAAACACTGACCAAGAACGTGGAGACCAGAAGGCATATAGTGTAATTGAAAAATAATAAATGTATCAGACTTTAGGTCAGAATTAAGAAAGAAAAGATGAAAGTGTATTTTTAATTTATCATGGTTTCATAGAGTCTTATCATTCTGAAAATAATCTCAGGAAGTAGTAGTACTGTAAAACCCGTAAAAACATGTTTCAGTGGGGCAGTTATTAAGAAAGAAAAAGTTAATGAACAAAATGTAAATAAATATAAATCACATTTTGCTTGAGAATTGGCAAGAAGTTATCATCTGAGTTTCATAGCAGCTGTATCTGTAATAAAGACATGTTTGAGCACTTTATTTCCTTTTTCCAGATCAGTTCTAGTTAATTATTCAACTAAACGTCACCCTTTTTACCCCTCTGAACATTCTCTAAATCAGAGAGGGACAAAATTATTTCCTTTTGAAAAATGTAACTATTTTGCCAGCTACAATGTTTCAGTCTTTAGAAGCACAAGCTCTTCAACATAAAGTATACATCCCAGTGTGATTTGATGACCAGTGATTTTGTCCTAACATTCTGTTCTCCTGGTTAAAGCCCTCAAAAGTCATTAAGCTAATGGAGAGTGACTTGGGTTATAACTCCTGTGGTTTTCACAAAACTGTGGCCCATGACTTATCATCATACCATCTCTATCCACTACCCCAGGCAGGCCATAATCCCTATTCTTCCCCTCCTTAGATACACACATATATCAGCCAAAGGCTGCTGATGTCAATGATTATCCCAATTACTACATGGGACAGTACAATTATAAGCTAGGTGATAGTAGATGATGAAGTCAGGCAGATAAAGGATAAAATGTTAGCTTCATGGCTAAGGGAGTTATTGGAGAACTTGGCCTGGAAAGGAGGAAGCAGTGAATGGCTGTAAGAGCTCTCGGAATCAGCTTGCCTACTTAGCCATCTAGTTAGGCAGCATTAGACAACTGTAGAATCACCCTGTGTGGGCAGAAGCCTTTTATTCTGTGGCTGATTGCAGAACAGATTTTACAAGTAGCAGGTTCAGAAAATGAAGAGTTGAGGAGGAAAAAGGGGCTGAGCTGTGTTTTCACTTCCAAACCCAGCAATTCGATGAGCCTCTATACCTCCTGAGGAAGAGAGAATGAAAGAGTTTAGCCAAAAGTGCCATCTCAGTTGATGTAGTTATTTCTACAGTGAAATACAAAGCCAGGGTAAAGGAGCTCTCTTCTTCCAGGACAATTAAATCTGAAAGATTTACTAAGCACCAAGGTCCTATGGTGAATCTTTCACGGGGGAAAAAAAGTGTCCAGGAGAATTTCCTTCTGCATTGAGCTTCAAGAGTAGCAAACTGCACTTCTACTGTCTCATATCCAAAAGTCTTAATTACAAAGACTTTGAGTATCTTTGACATAATCAATTTTATATTTTTATTTCTGGTGAATAATGTGGTGTCTTGCATAGAAAAATTACTTAATAATTATTCATGGGAAAAATGGATGAGTGAAGGGGGGAAAATAGCTCCCAAGGCCACTGGGAAGTAAAAGACCCAGGCTTTGTACTCTGTTCTTTTTCTTCCTTAGAGCCAAATTATGCCCACCCAAATTCAAAACATGAATGTTTAACAATTACCAGAGTTAAGTAATGAAATGTGGAAAAGAAAAAAAATCCACTTATTTGTTTTCAAATGCCATTATACAAAAAGCAGTCAAGGTTTTGGTACCCAGAAAGCAGCAAAAAAAGTAACACACTTCAATGATTCAAACTAAGTATTGTGTTTTAATTAGGTCTTGCCAAGCAATATTGCTATTCCTTGCTGCAAACTCTCTGAGAAGCTGGGACTGCCTCCTATTCTGTGTTATGCAGATTGTGTCTTGGCAAATTGGAAGAAAAAGGATCCCAGTGGGTATGTAAACTGTGATTATAACAGATGAATTGGAATGTATGTTATTTAAATCAATATGTAGTTATTTATTGGTTTAATTTTTGACAGTACAGTTTCTCTGGTATTGTCTATTATTTCTTGGACTATTGTGTCTGAAACTACAAATGTACAAAAGTGAGAGAGTGCTGTGTATTTAACATATAGTAAAAGACATAGAGATTCTAAATGTTCAATTTGAATTTGCCTTTTGTATACAGGTATGCATGTAACCACGTCCCCAAACAAGTTTACAAGCCACAGAGTACTTCTGTGACCTCCGAAAAGTTCTTTGTGTCTCTTTTTATTCAATTCCCTTCTCTGTTCCAGGCAAATACATTCTAATTTGTCTTATCAGAAATTAGTTTGTTTTTTATTGCATTTTGTATCAATGAAACCCTAGAGTATATATGCTTTGGTGCCTGAGTTCCTTGGATTAACACATTTTTGAGATTTTACCAATCTATTTTTAATTAATTAACTTACTTACATTTTTTGTTAATATATTATGATTAATGCAAAACACTAAAACTCATTATACCATATTCTACATGCACATACCACACTTTGATCAATCTCCTTCCACAGAACATCCCTTTTCCTCCATTCTTCCCTCCCCTTGATTCCTTTGCTCTACTCTGATAATCTCCCTTCTATTATTAACTGTTATTTTTATTATTATCATCACAATTTGAATTAATTTTTAAGTAGTAAGTTGCATGTAAGAGTTTCCATCAGGAAAGCAGCAGTGTCTGCTTCTCAGAAAAGACTGCACAGAATTGAGGCCACTCCTATCCCTCAGTGATGGGATTTGCTCCAACAAAGACCTGTGGCCATAGGTGTATACAGGAAGGAGTGTTCTACAGGTGGCTGTACCACAAAATGAAAAGATTTGATCTAGAAATTATCTTAACAGTAATAATGAGTTTTTACTATGTGTTCCTCGCATATTTAATTTTTATTTTTTTTATAAATTAGATATTTCCAATGCAATCCTGAAAGATATAAAAAAAAAAACAACAGTTTTTCTTTTTTAACTATGTCTTACCTCAGTTTGATCAATAGTATTCAATCTGATAATAGTAACTCAAAACCATTTGATTTCAATTACCTTTCTTTCTCTATTCCAATTGGCTCATGGCTTCCGGATTGATTCTACCAGGCCTATGACCTATGAGTAAGTATTCTAAGAACTATTTTTTATTCAAAGTGAATGTCGATTATCAAAGTATTACAAATACATTTTTAAATAGTTGATTGAGTTCAGGCAAAAATAATTTAGGTTATTATTAAAAGAGCAAATAATCCCATTCCTTAAAACTATATCTATGATTTTAATATGACCATGTCTATTTAATATTATAGGTAGAGAAACATACAAAAATGCAACTTGATATGAATTATGGAATTTATATGCCTAAATACAAAATGAACATACATCTATGTATCTGTGATCTAATGACCTCCCTGGGCAGAACTAGTTAACAATGTCAATAAGTAGTTATAAAGAAACCTGTTTTTGTTTGCTTGATTTTGCTTTTTACCAGTCCTTATTACTTTTGACCTATGTACTCTACATAGCCAAGAGCTGGAGAAACTAAGGTGTAAGCTTTTCCTAGTGAAGCTAGACTAATGGAAAGGAAAGGCAACTTATGAAAATTGTATAATGTTGCATGATTAATAGAAGGGACAAGAAGTTAAACTGCTAGGAGGTCTAATCAATTATCTAATCATATAACATATTTAAAGGGAAGAATCCATGAGGCAATTTATTTGAAGTGAGTCCAGAAGACAGGAAAGATGGCAGTCTATATAGCAGAGGACATAGCAAGTGTGAAGACTTGGAACTGACAGAAGTCTTGGTACATTATCAATGCTGAAGGCTAGCTGGTGTCACTGTAGACAATGATGAAGATAACAGTAGGAGAAAAAGATGAAGAAATAAATTTATAAAAAGAAGGAGAAAAGGATGAAGAAATAAATTTGTAAAAAGATTATCACTTATCTTGCCAAGGGACATAGAGCAAGCAAATAAGCTACAGGGGTGGTCTGACTTCAGAAACCAGAATTCTAACTACCACAAAACTCACAGATACACAGACATTGAAACCATTTTTGTACCAATGCCAAGACTTCAACAGAAAAGAAAAAATAGGGTCTAACCAAGTTATTTGAATTTCTTGGTCAATTCCTTTATATCAAATAAGCCACTGATAAATTGAGTGAGGTTCACAGAAAAAAATTTAATATATTTATTTTAAACAAAAGATTACTCCTTCAAACTCTACCTCAGATTTCTCTTAAAACCTTGAATATCTATATCTATTTAATGGAATAGTAGAAACAGACATATTTGTGGACTTTCTAGTTCTAAATCTAGAACAAAATCCAAGTCCCAGTGTAATTTTAAATATTATTTATTACTAATTGTATGATCTTAGATAGTGTGCCTAATATAGCTGTGTGTGTATGTGTGTGTGTGTGTGTGTGTGTGTGTGTGGAGTTGTTGATTTAACATGTTTGCAAACTATAAGTTATACTAAAATATACTGTGATTTTGCTAAATTTCTTGCCTATTTTACCTGATTTTCTTAGCAACATGGACATTTTGTTCTCATTTCCTGGTGAGGACTGCAGTAAAGGATTCTTCCTGGTTTCTCTGTTGGTGGAAATAGCAGCTTCTCCTGCAATCAAAGTATGTCCACTTACTTTTGAAATTTTTATGTCAATTCATAACAGAGTAATTCCTTAGTAACTGAATTATAGTAGCATGAATTGAGTTTGTGTTGGTTAAAACAATATAAGATCACTTAATTAGGGGTAATGGATTATCTTATAAAAAATATTTTATTTGCTTTTGTGTATTATCTAAAATATAAAACTAGGGGTCATATATTTAGAATCAAATTTGAAAATCCTGTAAGTAATAAAAATTTTCAATGCAATTTGTCATTAATAATACATAATGACATAATCCAATTGTTTTGACTTTTAAAATATAAATGAAGAAATAAATTTAATTTGTGGGTTAAGCTGGGGGAATTTTATATCAATGTTTAGTGGTAGGAGATCTTACATGTTTGTCTTTTATTTTTATTTTTTAAGGCAATTCCCATTATACTCAGTGCTGTGAAACAGCAGGACCAGGATACTTTGCAAAAGGCACTTCTTGATGTGGTTTTTTCTCTGAAAGAAGCCCTAAGAGTGTTTCAGGAAATTCATGGCAAGTACTGTACACATTACAACATTCTAAGAACAGTCAGATGTTTCTGATTGTCTGAAGGGTACAATCGGTTAGGAAATGAAAGTAAAAAACAGCTGTCAGTGAGCGTGGTTTCTTTCACTTGTTATATTTATCTCATTAAATAATTCCACTTTCCATATGGTAGATTTTATTATCTCCATTTTACAGATAAGGAAATATAAATTCAAAGACATAAAACACTTAAGGATACACAGGTAGTAACTAGTAAAGCCAGAATTTCATACCAGATCTCTTTAATTCTGAAGAGTATTTTGCTTGCTTCTAATAATTACGAAGACATTTGCTAAATGGGAAGGAAATTTTAAATTCTGAAAAAAAAGCTTCTGCTTGATAAGAGCTCTCTGCTAATTCTGCTTCTTCACAAGTTCACTGAGAAGCAACAGAGAAAAGCCATTGAGCTCAAAAGTTGTTGCAAAATTAACAGCTAGAAAAGCTACAAAAAGCGAACAAACAACAACAACAACAAAAAGGTTTGCAAAAAGGCATCTGCCCTACCAGGTAACAGATTTAACAAATATGTGAGTATTTATCACTGGGCTTGGAGCTACTGCTGATTGCTCCTTGGCAAAGGAGACACATTTTCAGATCAAATGTTAGTAAGTTTTGGGGAGGGAGACCTAGGGATATATATAGTCCATGGGGCTGCTGTGTTTGTTTGTTTTCTTTTGTTAAAATTTTTGGTCTCCCTCACTCTTCTGGGGGCCTCGTACATGTTAAGCAAATGCTGTACCACTAAGTCATATCTCCAGCCCGGGTTTATTTCTTGCAAGCACTTTATCTGTGTGTCAGTAAGAATACAAAGTAGTACTAGAAATGTTGACAGTTTAACTGGCCTGAGGATGTAGAGTAAGGAGGTGGGTGGCTTCTTAAACAAGCAATGTAGCAGTCTGACAGTGGACCCCATTCCATGGACATGGGTGATGAGCCTGGCACCTCCACCATTGGTAGGAGAATGAGAAGGGCTTTTCCACATGGGCTTTGTTCTGCATAGACTGACCTGATCCCTTTCCTGAACCCTGTGATAAAATCCTGTGAGTTATTTACAACACCTTGAACTCCCTGTTTACCTCTAATGAGTCTTAATTAAACATATTCCATCTTTTTACAGAATATGTGGACCCCAAACTATTTTTCAATGTTCTTCGCATTTATTTGTCTGGGTATGTAGTATTATGCTTGAATTTGTTTTATTTCAACTAATATAAAAAACACACCAAATACTTATTGATGGTTCCTCACCATTCATGAGGTTTGGATAACAATTATGCTAAAAATGTATTTTGTAGAAAAAGAATAGATAGTATTCTCTGTTATTACTGGTCCAGGATTGCCCTAGAAGGGGAATAGGGAAACTTGTCATTTTAAATAGAGTGAATGATCTGGCTAGTGCAAAGGTAAGTTTCTTTTCTGGGAGTATTTATACCAAATTTTCTCAGAATATCATTATTATTCGCATACATGAAAATTAGGGAGAGATTTGGATAAAGAATCACAAAATCTGTCTTGTCACCTTCTAATACCTCTAGAGCAAGATTTTCAATCAGAAAATTGACAATTAATATAAAGAATGATTTTTTTTCTTTCCTTCCTGGTCTAGCTGGAAAGGAAACCCCCAGCTGTCAGAGGGTTTGCTGTATGAGGGGGTCTGGGACACCTCAAGAAAATATGCAGGGGGAAGTGCTGCCCAAAGCAGCATATTTCAGAGTCTTGATATCCTTCTGGGCATAGAGCAGATTGCTGGTGGAGGTGAGTGGAAATGGCAAATAATAATCATCGCTTGCAATAATATAACTTGCGTCTTAATATTTATAAAGCTTCTTCCCTTTGGCATCTCATCTGAGCTTATTGGATGCTTTCAGGAGAATCAGAAAAGTAAGGATTACATGGCCAACATCCCATTTCACAGACGAAGATGCAAAAACTTAAGAGGATAATGTGACAGGCTTCTTGTTAAACAGCTAGAAAGTGGCAGAGCCAAAACCCAGATCCAATTCATCCTTCTCTCAATCTGGATTTGAATATGTAATTATAGGCTGATAGACTCTGGGGGAGCCAGGATCACATGTTCTGAAAATGTAGGATGAGATTCAGAAAGAAAGTCACCTGCAAATGAAACCCAATTGTGAGCAGAAGTTGGGGAGATGAAGGCCGCAGTGACAGGAGAGGCCTGGTATATCTTGTGTGCAGCCATCCTACGGACCCAGCAGCCCAAACAGGCTTGCACAGGAGTTTAATGAGGAGCTACATTCTTCAGGAGCATTCCCACATACCTGTCATCCCATCTGCTGGGAAGGCTGAGGCAGGAGGGTTGCAAGTTCAAATCTTTAGCACTTTAGCAAGACCCTCCATCAAAATAAAATAAAATAAAATGAAAACATAGTTCAATGGTAGAGCATTTTTCTGGCATGTATGAGGCACCTCACACAGAAAAAAAAGAAAGAAAAAAAGATGAGCTACTTTTTTATATGTCTTTTTATATGTATTTCTTCTTAGAAAAACTTCTTCCCACTTAAGCTTCTATTTTATATACTAAGAGGAAAGCACTGGGCTAGGTGAAAATGTTTTTTTCTTAATTTAAAATGATCCTTTAAACTCTTTTAAACTCAATGTCGTGACCTAACAAGTGTAGATTATTTATACCCTGCCTATAACATCAGCCTCTTGGAAGAACCAAATACAGTAGAAAAATGATAAAGAAAACACATATGAACATTCTTAATATGAAAAATAATTTTTGCTCATTTTATTTTCAGAATTAACTGTAGTTTTGTGTAGTTACCATGGCTGGCTGGTAGCAGCCCAATAACTGTTTATCCTCCAAACAGGGTGATCTTAACCTCAGAACTTTTTGCTATAGTTCCTAGTAGTGATCTCCAATTTGCTCTGACCTCCCTCAGCTTTCTCCCCTGACTGGGGAAGACTTTGGCCTCCCTGTTACCTTGTCTTTATCTTGTTCCTTTAGGACCTGCTGCTGAGTTCCTCCAGGACATGAGAACATACATGCCACCAGCACATCAGGACTTTCTTCGCTTCTTAGAGACAGGACCATCAGTCCGTGAATTTGTTGTTTCAAAAGATGATGCTGGCTTGCAGGAAACTTTTGATCAGTGTGTGGAAGCTCTGGTCTCCCTGAGGAGCTACCATTTGCAAATAGTAACAAAATACATTGTGATTCCTGCAAGCCAGAAACCCAGGGAAAATGAAATGGCAGAAGAGCCAACTGGACAAGAAAACAGAGGAACTGGAGGCACTGATATCATGAATTTCCTAAAGACTGTAAGAAACACAACCAAGAAATCCTTTTTGAAGGATCGTTAATGTAACCCCAGCAAAGGTACATTTCATTTAAGCACAGAAATTGACATATTTTCCTGTCACTGCTCATTGAAGCAGACCCATGAATTATTGATAGATAGTAATTTACTAATGATACACCATAAAAAGATTTCTAAATAATTTTTTCTTTTATCTATGGATCTATGTAGGAAAATAACAAAAAATGATAGTATAAGCATACTACAAACAACATTAGAAATATTATAACCTGTTTGTCAATGGAATATAATGATGAAATTCAATAAAGAGAAAAATCATGTAAGATCTAATAAATCTTGCTTCATTTTTGTCTACCATTAAATATTGCTTCAGATGAGGTATACTCCACACTATTATCCCTTCAGCAGGGCCAGTGGATTCTGGTACTTTCAAAATGCTAGTGCTTGTTCATAATTACTCGTTTATTTGTATTCTCTTTGCACAATAAGCTTCAGGATGCCAGAAACACTCTGTACTATTTATTGGACCTATGTTCCCTCAGCTCTTAGTACATACTTAGCAAATAACTACTGAATAAATGAATGTATGAAGACATCTATCAGGACATACAAGAATAGGTCACCTTTGAAATGCAGTTTCTTCCTAGGTTATTGAGCACTAACACTCTAGCATGAATTTGTTTAATAATGGAATTCTGGAAAGGTAGAGATGGAAAGGAACTTAAAAATCATCTAAGCCAATCTCTGCATTTTAAAGATGACAAAATTGAGGCTCAGAAAAGTGAAATAACTTACTTAGGATAATAGTTGATATAAATAGGAAGAAATTTTGAGTTTTTGATAAGTCTTATTTTTTTTTTCTTTCTATTTGGAATAGACGAGGTTAGAGGGAAAGGAAGTATAAGTGAGGATAGGAAATGAGATGACATAGCAGGATCTTATCAGGAAGCAAATGGTCAGCCAGAAATTGGTTGCATAATGAAAGATAGAAGGAAAAACTATTCAATGCCCAGGGTATGCGATTAGCAAGCACCTTGAATTCATGAAAAGTTCAGCTCTAAGGATAAGGAATATAATTCAGAAATTTCAACGAGTATGCACAACTATGTTTGAAGAAGGAAATGCATCATGTACTTCTAAAATCAAAATGTCTAAATACCATTTTAACATCATTGCTCAAATACACCCAACCCAGTGAAATCTTGTAGCTTATAGCAAAATTTTACTTGGTTGCCTACAAAATATGCTAAATTTCAGTGGTAATCATACTTATTTGGTGAGATACATTTTTTTCCCCCTTTTTCCCCTGTAAATGTTTCTGCAATTGACTACACATAATTTTATAGTGGGCAAAGTATATATCTATATAGATGATAGTCTATAGGTCCAAATAACACAAAACCAGATTTTGAATTTTCCTCTAATGAATTCATATCTGCACTGAGAGAGGCAAAATGAAATACTTGATATATTTCTAAAGATGCGGCTACTTCACATCCACTGCCCCATAGTCTCTGTTCATCACAGTGAGTGTTCTTTTGGGCACTGTAGAGGATGTGTCAATGGAGCGCAAAAGCGATATCTTATTA